CAAATCTCTTACTGACATGACCCTCTCCTCCCAATTGATCGCTTAAGTGAGCTCCCTCTCAAATTTTCCGTTTCCGTCTTTTTCCTGTTTATTGAAAGAATTTTTTTTGATCCCCTCATTACATGTGTTTACTCAATGCTGGATATTGGTTAAGCTTAGCCTCCGATTGCCTTAGATTTAAATATTATAGATTACTCAACTCTTGGTCTTCGTAGTTTTCATTGTGTTCTTATTAGTGCTGGTTATAACGTATGAGGAAAGCATGACATCTAATGTGGATGGTTCTTAATAACCATCTCTTAAGGACACCTAGAAAATGAGCAATTTAAATATCTTTTATGGTAAGTTTATAAAAAAACGTTATTATCTTTTACACTCAATTACTTAAAAATATTATATAAATAATTTTTTTTATATAATTATATGTAAATACAAAATAATTTTTGTATTTTTCATAAAACTCTATTACAAAAATTGCTTCTAAAACACTGCTTTTTTAAAGTTTATCCAAACGAATCCGTAACTTTATCAAGTCAGCAGTAGCTGTCACTCGCAGAGGCTGCACGTGCAGCGCGACCCACCAAAATGTTGCCACATTGGCTCCAAATCCGCGAGCAGGGTTTGCTTTTTTCACCTACGAAACCAGAGGAAATCTAAAAAAATTCCCAGGTCTTGCCCCTGCCATGGCCGCCACACCCAGCTTCTCTGCCGCTGCTTCTCAAAACACCGAAAACAAAAACAAAACTATACCCAAAACTCCCGCCAAGAGGAACACCAAAAAAAAAAGTTCAACAAAAAAGCCGAACACCATTCATAGCTCCAATCGGACCGAGTCGGGTCAATCCCGGCAAAATCCACCCGATCCTTCTCCTTCTTCTCCAGCGCATGAAATCCCCGGGTTTCGATTCCTCCATGGCAGAATTTTTGATGCTGAGAATGGGAAGACGTGTCAAAGGGTATATCTAAGTCAAAATAATTTCTACAACTCTCGCATATTTGCATATAAATACGCGATACATATGCACGCATGTTTTCGATTTTTTAAGGGTTTGTTTGTTGGTGCAGTGTCGGCAAAAGATCATGGACTTTGCTAGGGCCTGCAAGAACCAGAAAGAGAATAGTCAATATGCCTTTCATTTCTGTCATACTTGCCTTCTGAACATGTCGTTTCATCTATCTCTCTTGCTCGTCTGCAGAGTTTCAACATGCAATGTGCTTTCCCTTTCTGTCATGGTTAGTAACTATTTTCTTTTTTCTAAATAAATATTGTAAAGTTTGTCTTTGTTTACCGTTTCGACGGCGGTGTCACAACGCTAGAAAAGCTCTATATCTGGACTTTGAAGCTTTATAGGGTTTAAACCCGAGAGCTGATGGCCTTATGGGTAAGAAAAGCTCAGCCCAAAGGTCCAGTTACCTCTGTTTGGCTTTGTATTTTTTTTTCTCTTCCCGGTTTTCGTCTCAAGTATTCTCGAAAAACAAAAAACAAAAGAAAACATTGAACTATTAAAAACTCTAGTTTTTCATATTTTTTTTCTCTGTTTTAGCAACAAAAAAAAGGAGGTTTCCGAGATTAGAAAACAATTCTTGTTGTTTTCCAAATATGGTAATGTTGTCTGAAAATTCTTCCCGAATTACCTTCAAAAATAAAGGATAACGGGCTTTCCGTTTCCAGGGGCATAGAGATCTATTCAAATACAAATCCAAATGGGCCAGAAAACCAAGCTCTCCCTCCCATCCCCTTTGGACTGATCTGGTTTAGTTTTGGGCAGATATGGAGAGAAGGCAGAAGGAATGGTGGCAATAGGGGAGTGCCATTGTCGGCTGATTTAGGAAGTGCCGATTCTGTCATATTCACTTATTTTTCCTGTTTTGTTCATCTTATATGGGGTATGTTGAGGGTTTTATTGATGAAATTTAGAAAATATGGTTTCTTCGGAAGAAGCGAGGTTGTTGCCCTGCTGGAAGGCTGGTGGCTGTTGCAAAGGCAACTGGGTTTTCTTCGTTGTCAGAAATGTTGCAGCTGAACAACTCTGAGAAGGCCAAAAAACATACCTGTGCATCGTCAAAAAGGAAGATTGCACCAAAGGTAGACAGCTACTGGGCGGTGTTTGGTATCCTGCTTTTTGGGAAATTACATGTTCACCCTTTTAGATCGAAAAGCCGATAACCCCATACCCATCATTGCGGAGCTATTAGTCTTTAGTCCAGAGAACTCTACCTTGTGTCTTTTCTTTCTCTTTGAATTTAGTTTCTAAAAATAGGTATGTTCAAGTTGGATTTGATAGTTAAATTTAATGTAAATCATATTTTATAATTTATAATTTTTATAAATTAAATTAAATTATGATATACGATTTGATTTAGTTTTAAATTATAATTTATAATTTACAAAATAAAATGTATTAAATTTATTATTTTTATAAAAATTTTAATAAAATTTTTTAAAAATTTGATCATCTATTTTTCTCAATTTATTTAACTTAATAAATTCATTATTTATCAATTAATTATAATAGTTATAAATTATACAATAAATATACTAACACTATTTTATACAATTTCACTTATACTAATAGAAATTATTTTAGAAAAAAAAAATTAATTATTAAAATAAATATAAAAATAAAAAATAACAAAAAAAATATAGAGTCAAATAATAAAAATATATTATATATATAAAAATAAAATTTTTAATTACATATCTATATAAATTATATGATTTGATTCGATTTATATAATTTGTCTAAATATTAAATATCAAATCAAATCATATATAAAAATACTTTTCTAAACTAAACTAAATCAAATTAAATTACAATTTTATTGTGTAAATGGTTTAATTCGGTTTATTGAATATCTCTAACTGAAAACATAAACCAAAATAGCTGAGCTCTGACTTTATTGTCTTATTCTTTTCTTTCTTTTCCTGTATTAAGGTTATACGATTAGCTTTGTTGGAGGACAGAGTGGATATTAAAAGAAAACCATGGGCAGGAAAAAGTTGTTCAACGTCTAGACACAAATCCAACATTAAAAATTTTAACAAGTGGGAAGGTGAAAGAAGAAATTACACAAGATGAAGATGGGTCACCAAAAAATCTGACCTCTTCTAAGGTAAGATAAGAGGTTTCCATTCTTGCAATCATACACGTGGAGGAACTGCAGTTTGACATTTCCGAAATGCTTCATTAATGGATATCAGACGTTTTCTTCTACCTTAACCTTTAATGATGTCGAAATTTCACTACCTCAAGGTTTTGAATTAACAAATGTTGCTAACATTGGTCTGCCTGCTGTGGGCATGTCTTGCAATTCCTTGAGTTTTGCGAAGCATTTAGAGATGTTAGATGAAGTATTTATTTGATTTAGGAGTCAGAAGTAAATGTTCATAAAATTAGAAACCGACCCTTCGCACTTCAGTGACATTTCATAGAATTGGTTCCTAGTTGATACTTGATACTAATTTGCAATTGCCTTGGCTCTTGGGAAATTTTATATATTAATTTTTTTATCAATTAGAAAATAATTTTTTTTGTTTGTTCATGTATGTTTGTCTTATATGTAAATGTATATGCGTGTGTGTGTACTTAGGACTGAATATAAGTATGCTTAATACAAATATGATATTAAGCAAACTGGAATTACTATTCTTTACTGGACACCTGTCCATGTATTGATGTTTTATCTGTTCATATAAAACAGACTTACAAAAAAAAAAAATCTGGATTGGATTTTATTAAAGAGGTGGGAATTCTATGGTTTGGATCTTTACTATTCTCTTATTTATTACTTCTATTTATTATTTAAACAGAATACTGTCACTAATTCTTAGAAATTCTATGGCTCGGATTGGTCTTTAATAATCTCTTATTTGTTACCTGTGTTTATTATTTAAACAGAATAACGCCATCCATTATTACTAAGAAATTGAAAAAAATTCTCAAAAACCGAAAAAATGGTAGAAAGTGAGGATGAAAGAGATGCAAAAATAGAACTAACTTACGAAATGAAGGGAAAACAAAGAGGACTAAACAGGAACAGGAGGGATCCACCGAAGATGATCTATCTTCCATTTTTGACAAACGGTGATTGCTTCTCCTATGACCCTTTTTCCACCGTATGCAAGATCCATAAACACCTTGACTGTCATGTTCCTTTATCATGTCATTTTCCTGAAACCTTGTTGTCAATAATTAGATGCTCGATCTAAAGAAGGGAAAGCTTGAATACTTCGAGATTTAGCATGTGGACGAAGTTTATGTCGAGAGGGTTCATCAGCTGCTCGATTTCATATAAATTTGCTCTCTGTGATACTAAATGATTCAGGAAACAAGTATGATAACTTGTTCCATTGCTTGAATAGAAAAAAAAATATATGTTGGTTTGCTGATTTTCTCAATCAAAGTTTATTCCATCTGATAAATCTAAATCCTCCAAACTAACTAATTTACCATATGTATTTATAATAGTTTTAACTATGACTACCCAAAAGCTAACTATATATTATGTATACAAATAAATTAAAGAATATTTTAGCATTAAAAATAAATAATAGATTCTCCATAAATAACACTTCAACACCGGGGGGAGAAATGCAACTTCTGATTAGAAGGCTGGAAGGGAAGTGTGAAGCCCTCTCATCAGAACCTTTACATATGTATAAGAGTATATATACATATTTATATATAGATTCTAGACACTAATTCTTCTTTGTGTTATGTATATATATATGTAGATTTAGTATTTTTTATTATTACCATGAACATATGAATATAATTTAGGACTGTAATTTTAGACGTTGATTCTCTTTCCTTGTACATACACAATACTTTATTAATATAAATGTACAATTGAACTCTCCTTAGGGTTGTGAAAGTGTTGACAATTTCTTTCACTTTTTACTCTCTCTTGCACTGAAGAAAACATATATAATTGCACTTAAGAAAACACATACAACCTTGTTTGTAGTTGGAGTCATTTCATATCTGGGTTGGACATCCTTAATTTGGTTGGCTTGTTGAGATATTGACCCCAAATAGCCTAACTGTTTGCTCCTTTTGAGTGGCTTTGAGAGGTGGTAGGTCTGCTATACACGACCGCATTTGTGGCATCCAGTCTATGAAAAGCCGCTTGTCCGGCCCAGTTGAACGAGAAAAGCAAACCACGTCTCCTGCTTTCAAGCCCTTCTCCTTCACAAACTTGCTCCATTCGCCCGTTAGCACATGAGCGTGACTGCTTCTCCAGATGGAGTACTTGAAATTCCATGCTTTCTCTTCATTATCCTCCATCAACAAAAAAGCTGCTTCTGACCGGTTTTGAAGGTGAAGCTGGAAGTACCGTCGAGCTAGTCGCTTTGGTATGACTAGGCGGTACTGTTTGATATCGCTTTGCATTAGCACTTTGTTGAAGAGCTCCTCTCGTCCCTGGAATGATAGAAAACCTTCCCCGGTTATACGGTCAGCTTGGTAATTGCCCTGGTTCTGAATGTTTGCGTTGGATGGAGAGTTCATGGCTGCTATATAATTTTTCCCTTTTTTTTTTAATAGAGAGAGAGAGAGAGAGAGAGAGAGAGATATGATATGTCTGTACTGTACAACAGGGAAGCTACAGCCCACAGTTCATCTTATAGGGGTAAAAGGGATGTGATAAGAGGTACTTGATTCTATCGCCTAGTTAACTTTGATGTGCTAGTTAACTTTGAAACGTGGCACGGGGTGAGTGTAATTTGGTCAGAGAAAAGCATATTTCCTTTTCTATCAGCAACGTTGTGGATCCATTATTAGCTTATACGGTAACATAAATAATTAGGCTTTTTAAATTATGACGTGGGAGTCTTGCAAGAACCAAGACAAAGGCATGGAGTCTACACATTCTTATTTTTATAGTTGTAGAAATGCATTTTTATACTTAATAGTTATGGAGATACTTGGTCATGAAAAAAGAGTCTTATATTTGTAAAAATATATTCTTTTATAATTTTGTATTCGTATATACCAGAGTGAGCTTCGATACTCATATCTGGAAATATGATTTATTTATTTATTATTGATTTGTAAAAGTTGGATGTAGAAATAGTGAAGACTGAAAAGAGATAGAAATTATTGTTTAATATAATTTGAAGTAGAAGTAAGTTTAGAGAAAATGCAGGAAGGGAGAACACTATTTGATGGAGTTGACATAAGTATATTTACCTCATGCATGACTTAAAAATAAAAGCAATGTATCAGCTCTTGATTAAACATTGAAAGGAGGGCGGTGAGAATAGAATCTCGCCAACTTTTTCAAGTTATAATGCTTTGAGCAATGCTAGTGAGGCCGATTTCCATTGGCCATCTGAAAGGAATAGAAAAGCACAAGAAATTGGAATATAATTACATGGTGCCCCTGTGAGACTGTTGGCTAGGGCAAATTTTACTCGCCTCATGTTTTCTTTATTTTTATTTTTTTTTTAATTTGGAAAGCCAGTGGCCTTTCTCCGTGGGCTTTATTGCTCTCTCTGACACTGTCGGAATCTTCTCTGAAACTTGTGGTTTGAAAGCTAAGAATAATACACGAGCGTGAAGGCAATATTTTTGAACAGGCTTAATCAGTCCAATCACTGGTTGGATTGATACGAAGTTATAAATATATTTAATTTAAATATATATTTTTATATTATTATAAATAATATAAAAAATAAAAATAAAAAATTTAATAATTTATTAAATTTAATTTTTATTTTTACATTTATTTTTTAAAATAACCAAATATTTTATACATTTTTTAACTCTTTTCTATAATTTTTTTTGTCTAAAATATAATTACTATTTCTAAGAGAGAAAGAGGGGAAGAGACCTTAAATTTTTTTTATCAACTATTTTTATTTATAATTAGTTGACTCTTTTATGTATCAAATAAATTAACTTGTGAATTTTATTTAATTTTTTTTAAAGAAAAACTTAAAAAAAATTGACAAGTCTTCACTTAAAAAAAAAAAACAGAGAGAAAGACACAAAATTAGTTAAACCGGTTTTTCTAGTTTTTGACCGGTTCTCACCAGTTCAAATGACAACTAGTTTTCTTCATCCAACTGGATCAGAGAGATTGCCGGTTCCCAGTTGAACCGGCCGGTCTGGCCCGATTTTCAAAACATTGGTGAAGGGAGAGTCAAAGATTCAAGGGATTGCTTTGATATCATGACTTTCTTTTTTAAGTATGAATTCAGTTGTCTTGGAAAAAAAATTTCAGATTTTTTTGGCTTAATATTCGATTATCCATAAAAGGAAAAAACCCACTAAATAGGAGTTTCATAATGCAAATTGAATGGGCTTAACTTAAATTTTTGGACAAAAATTTATTTGTCTTCTTAAATTTTCTTCTTTATTCTATTTACTTTCTCTGAACTCTCTATCGTATAATTTGTCCAATTGAAACTAACACCATCAAAATACTCTTTATATTTACTTTTTAAACTTTTCAGTTATAAATATTACCATTACAATAATTAAATGTAAAATTTTTAAAATTTTGAGTTAATATGTTATAACTAATAATAAATATTATTAAATATATTTAACTTTAGATGTTGAATTAAATCACGACTAAGTTTTACAAAATTGATTTAGATTATTTGAGCAATCTAATTAAATAAAAAGTTATCAACTAAAAACAAATAATTTGAATTTTGTAAATATATTCAAGAACCGTAATTTGAAATCTAACCGTTAAGTCAAATTAGGCAAATTTACATTTTCGTTTTACCAGCACAATAGCATCAAAAAATTAAGACAAAAGTCATTTTTTTTATAATTGCCTAAATTAATTTTGTAGAATGCACAAATTGTCTACATGAATTTTATAAAATTTAGCCATGTTTTAATTTAATATTTAAAATTAAATATATTTAATACTAGTTATTATCAATTATATCATATTAACTTAAATTTTTAAAAATTTTAACATTTAGCTATTCTAATAATAATATTTAAAAATTCAATATTTAAGATTGAAAATTTTAGGGGATAAATATAATAGTTATTTTGATGGTGTTAGTTTTAAGGGCGTGAAAATGATATAATAAAGTTTAGGGAGGTAAATAAAATAGAGAAAAAAGTTTAAGGAGTTGAAGTGATTTTTGCCCTAACTCTTTTGTTTTGATTTGTTTTTGTTAATAAAAGAAAAGAAACTCATACTTTTATATATTAGTTTCTAATTAGTATATATTATAGCTTTTACAATCTCTTTAACACTTTGTCTTATAAGTTACTCAAAATTTAATAATTTATTTAACACCCAAATCTCATGTTGGGACTGGGACGAGGACCAATGGACTGTCGTTTGGACAGATTAGAGTTCAAAACATCTAAATCAAAAATTGGAGATTTGGAGTTTCTAGGGATTTCAGGATTCAATCAAACAAATTGGTCACCATTGACAAGCATTTGCAACTCACCAGAGATAGTTGGTGCTAATGGTGGTGGTTCGGTTCCTTACTAACCATTGCAATTGGTCGATTGCATGCATGCACAAAAATTTGTGGCATTTGAGTTTTGTTTGGGCTTTGTAATACTCCAAAAATTTGGGATTAATTAATAGCAAATTAGAAACTTAAAGGAGCTCAAATAGAAGAAATAAAAAGTTCAGGGGCCTAATCAAAAAAGTTAGAGGCCCAATTGATGAAATTAAAACTTGGCAGGACCTGAATAGAAATAACTAAAACTTGCAAGGACGAAATCAAATGAAATCCAAAATCTAGAGATTGAATTGTAAAAATCTCAAAAATTAGATCTTATTTATTGTCTTCTACCTATTCTGAAACCAAATCTCGCGATTCGGTTGATTAGATAAAAATTGACATGGATCAATCAAATTAAATACATATAAAGGACCAAACGAGGCATTAGAACAAAAACCCTACGCCAATTTTTACTCTTTACATCTAATTTCATTGAGAATTTGAAATCTGAAATTTTTGTGGTAGTATTGGAAAGAAAGCTCCACGACGGCCATTGTTGAGAAATCGAAGTAATTATTCACAAGAAAAACCTATACGAGTGTGTCAACGGAAGGAGTCTATAGTCCAATTGCTAGAACGAGCAAGGATTAAGCAACTTCTGTGATCAAATCTGTCCAGGAACACAACTTCAGGCATTTGGATTATTCGGGTTAAGAAGAAAGGACCTGGGAAGGGTTCAGGCCTAGGTTAAGGGTTTAGGCTTTTGTTTTAGGCTAGGGCTAGGATTGGGTTGGACCATAAATAAAAATGGATTTGGACTAATGATTGAGCTTGGACCAAGTTATCTATTTGGGTTTGGGTATCAAAAACAAAACCAAATCTTGGATCTGGTTCAGATAATCGATAAAATAAATAAATAAAGCAATAAATAGAAAACTAGCTGATTCAGTGCATAAACAGTTGATTTAGTGAGTTATAAGACTAGTTCAGTACACTAGAGGTGGTTTATGGCTGGTTCAGTGACCTAATGGTTGGTTCAGCCTTCTAGTGGCTGATTCATGACCGGTTCAACACTTTAATTGGAAGTTTTAGGGTTTAACAAACTGGTTTTATGTTTTATGAGATCGGTTCAAGACTTTGATACTTGGTTTATGGATTATTTGACAGGTTTGGGGCTTTAGTAGCCTTGATATGGATTTAAGCATAAAAATCTAGAATTTTACTCGGATTCTTAATTAAGAAATTGTATTTATTCAATTTTTATATGCATTAGAAACATAAAATGAGATATTTTATTATTTTTATGATTTTACATTATTCGTACAATTCTCATCGAACCCATGTCTATAAGGATCAGATTCTTTGATTTCCATTGATTATATGAGTAATAATGTGTATTTATAAGCATTTATTATTTTTTCATGTGTGTTATAAATTCTAATTTTTCATGATATATCTGATTTTTGAAAATTGAATTAAATTCTGTTATAAAAGCATAACAATGGACATGCATGTAATTTTTGAAATTGTTTTGAAAAAATTATTTGTTATTTACATTTAATTCTGTTTATGTCTGTAAATAGAAAATTCTGTTAAAATGTTATATTAATTTTGGAAAATTATTTTCAAAAGAATTGCAGATTTTATGACACTGGAACTAACGACAGTAGGTGTTAGACTAGATACCTTAATTTACATATCAATATACAGGCAAACTGAGGTGTTGTTGTTCTGATTTCTAGCAGACTAAGTGTTGTTGTTCTGGTTTTTAGCAAACTACGTGTCGTTAATCCAATTTTTGATATCTATTACATTCTGAATTACGAACTCCCTAAATTATGAATAAAAAATGTTTCCTGTAAGTTATTTATTATATGTGTATACTTATCTCTTATTATCATAAATGCATATTATTATTTATTATGTCTATAGACTCATCCTTGTATTTTTTTTCAAATTAAAAATTCTTTAGTCCGATGGATTTTACTACTTGAGATGAGTCTATTATTTCTGTTATTTTTTGCTTTTTGACTAAAGAAGTTAGTCATTTGCTTTTTTGCTAGATTTTGTATTCAT